ACCATTAAAGTTAAAAAAAAAAAAAAAAGGAATAAATGTATGTGAAAAAACAACTTAAAAATAATAAAGCTGGGCGTGGTGGCTCACGCCTATAATCCCAACACTTTGGGAGTTTGAGGCTGGCAGATCACGAGGTCAGGAGATCAAGACCATCCTGGCTAACATGGTGAAACTCCGTCTCTACTAAAAATATAACAAAATTAGCTGGACGTGGTGGTGCATGCCTGTAGTCCCAGCTACTTGGGAGGCTGAGGCAGGAGAATTGCTTGAACCCACGAGGCGGAGATTGCGTGAGCCGAGATCGCACCACTGCACTCCAGCCTGGGCGACAGTGTGAGACTGTCTCTAATAATAATTAATAAATAATTTGATGGGGCTTGGTGGCTCATGCGTGTAATCCCAGCACTTTGGGAGGCCCAGGCAGGCAGATCACCTGAGGTCAGGAATTCGAGACCCGCCTGACCAACATGGAGAAACCCCATCTCTTCTAAAAATACAAAGTTAGCCAGGGGTGGTGGAGCGTGCCTGTAATCCCAGCTACTCCGGAGGCTGACGCAGGAGAATTGCTTGAACCTGGGAGGCAGAGGTTGTGGTGAGCTGAGATTTTGCCATTACACTGCAGCCTGGGCAATGAGAGCAAAGTTCCATCTCAAATAATTTTATTAAATAGGGCTGGGTACAGTGGCTCATGCCTGTAACTCTGGCACTTTGGGAGGCCTAGGCGGGAGGATTGCTTGAAGCCAGAAGTTCGAGACCATCATGGGCAATGAAGTGAGACCTCTGTTGGTCACTGATGGCAATGAAAAATTCGTTCAGTGGATATTTCTTGAGCATCTACTATGTGCTAAGCATTTAAGCAGTGGAAATAGAAATGAAAACAAGATAGAACAAAAACATCCATCCACCAAGCTGGTTCTGTTCCAGCAGGGGAGGAAGACAGTGGCCAGATAAATGAGTCCATGTCTGATGGTGACTGTCTGCTGAGCAAATTTAATCAGGAATAGGGAATCCGGAAGTGCTAGACCATGGGAGGTGCTGCAGTTTCCAGTCGAGGGGGTCAGGGAGGGCCTTCCCAAAAGGTGACATTTGAGCACAGACTGGAGTGGCAGCACCCGGGCAAGAGCCATATGTGCCAGTATCTGGGGGAAAAGTGTCACGAGCTAAGGGAACAGCCAGCACAGAAGCTCAAGGCAGGAGTGTGCCCGTGTGCCCTGGGATCGGCCTGTGGTCGGCTGGGGAGGCCAGCTCCTCACAGGGTGCGTCAGGGCGGGTATATCACATCCATCACTGGCTAAGAGCAGCCACCTTATGAGCGCCTCCTCCCGGACGCCAGGTGTGGTGTGTCCTCTGATTCCAGCTCTCAGCATCTGTGCTGGGAGGCAGGATTCCTGTTCCCATTTTACAGATGAGGAAACTGAGGTTTAAAGAGGGCAGGTGACGTGTCCAGGGGCATGTGGCTGGACAAGCAGTGCTGCTGGGCTCCTCCTCTCGAAGGTCCCTGTGATGCTGGGAAACTGAATCACAGAGACAGGGAGAGATGGGTTTGAGGAACTGGGCTGAGACCAGGATCTCACCCCGCTCAGACCTGGTGAGCTCCTTTGACACTCAGTGGCAGATGAAGGAGGCTGGGGACAGGCTGGCGGGAGCTGAGCTGGGGTTAGTGGGAGGACGAGTCACCACTCTCTACCAGGGTTCCCCTTTAGTGCTGGGGCTAGTCTGGGGGGCTGCAGTCAGTCTTCCTCCTTCCGGCCAAGTGCGGTGGCTCACACCCATAATCCCACATACTTAGCAGGTGAGGAGGGAAGATCTCTTGAGCCTAGGAGCTTGAAACCAGCCTGGACATTGTGAGACCCTACCCCTACAAAAACAATTAAAAATTAGTTGGGTACAGTGGCACACATCTGTAATCCCAGCTACTCAGGAAGCTGAGGTGAGAGGATCGCTTGAGCCCAGGAGTTCACGGCTACAGTGAGCCATGATCACACCACTGCATTCCAGCCTGAGTGACAGAGAAAGCCTCTGTCTCAAGACAAAAAAAAAAAAAACAAAAAAAACTCCCTCCTTCAGTTCCCCCAAGGCTGGGTCACCCTGGGAGCTCCCCAAGATCTGTTACCCAGGCCTGGCCTAACCCTGTGCCTCCTCCTAGCCCTGTGTGCAGCCAGTGGGTGTCTGCATGGAGAATGGGAGCTGTCTGTTAAATGTCTGCCTCTGCCTTATCCATGAGTCCCTGCAGACCGGCCACCTCCCCTCTGCCGGTCTGAGCAGTATTGGGGAACACCAGGGCTCTGGGCACAGCAGGGCCAACCTGCCATGTGCTGGACACCATTCTAGGTGGTGTATGGGATTACTTCATTTCTTTTTTTTTTTCCCGCTGAGACGGAGTCTCGCTCTGTCACCCAGGCTGGAGTGCAGTGGTGCAATTTTGGCTCACTACAGCCTCTACCTTCTGGGGTGAAGTGATTCTCCTGCTTCAGTCTCCCAAGTAGCTGGGATTACAGGCAGACGCCACCATACCTGGCTAATTTTTATTTTTTTTGTATTTTTAGTGGAGACGAAGTTTCACCATGTTGGCCAGGCTAGTCTTGAACTGCTGGCCTCAGGTGATCCGCCTGCCTTGGCCTCCTAAAGTGCTGGAATTACAGGCGTGAGCCACCACACCTGGCCTGGATGACTTCATTTTATCTTCATACCATCCTTAATGGGGCAGGGGAAGTGTGTGTGTGTGTAGAGGGGGGGGTCCATCCTATGAGGAAACTGAGGCACAGATGACAAGCGTCTGGCTCAGGTCTTAGCATCCCACCCCACCCCAGGGAGCGTCTCCCCTGTAGCACTGTCTCCCCCACCCTGTCTCTGGAGCCTCAGAGACATCCTGTGAAAGCTGCCATTTTATAAGGAGGGAAACTGAGGAGCCAGGGCTGGGCCCTGCTGCTTCTCTCTGCAAACTGCTGCCCCTCTAGACTGAGGGGCCTTCCTGGTAAGGTGCAAGGCCCATGAGGGTCATCTGGGGCCTGGTATCTGGGTGAGGTTCGGTGTAAGGTCAGGGCTGACATGGATACTCTCTTCCTCTCTTGGGCACAGGAGCCAAGCCACCATGGCCTACCACAGCTTCCTGGTTGAGCCCATCAGCTGCCACGCCTGGAACAAGGACCGTACCCGTGAGTGCTTACAGGGGGCCGGCGGGTGGCTGCTTCCACCTCCTGGGACGGGGACCAGCCAGGAGCACACATGGGGCTGGATGCTGGAACAGCCAGGCCCCCACACCACATGCGGCTGTCCCCAGGCCTCACCCCTGGGTATCCCAGCTGAGCAGGGGCCTGCTGGGTGTGTGAGGAGGGAATGGGCCAGGTGCAGTGGCTCACACCTGTAATCACAGCACTTTGGGAGGCCAAGGTGAGTGGATCACTTGACATCAGCTTGAAACCAGCCTGGCAATATGTCAAAGCCTGGTCTCTACTAAAAATACAAAAATTAGCCGGGTGTGGTGGCAGGCGCCTGTAATCTCAGTTACTTGGGAGGCTGAGGCAGGAGAATCACTTGAA